CGCTGGGCCCACCGGGCCCGACGGTTGATAGGGGGCTGGTGTTGGGGTCGCTGGGGCCAGGACTGGGGGTCGACGAGGGGCTGGGGCTGGTATTTCTGGGCCCACCGGGGCTCACGGCGGATATGGGGCTGGACGGGGGGTTTCTGGGCCCACCGGGGCTCACGGTGGATATGGGGCTGGTTTTGGGGTCTCTGGGTCCGCCGAGGGGCTGGGACCGGATCTGGGGGTCGATGAGGGGCTGGGGCCGGTATCTCTGGGGCTTGCAGTGGATATGGGACTGGTGTTGGGGTCTTTGGGTCCACTGGGGCCCATGGTGGATATGGGGCTGGTGTTGGGGTCTCTGGGTCCGCCGAGGGGCTGGGGATGAGCAGAGTCCTCTGGGCCCTCCGGTGGGACCGTTCCAGGGGTTCATTGCGGGGCCGGCCGGGGTGTCTCCGTGCCCGCCGGGTGTCTGAGGGCCCCGTCGTGCCCCCCGGCGCAGCCCCATCGTGCGGCAGATCCGGCAGGACTGCGCGGAGCCCTTCGCCGCCTTCGAGCGGTGCCTCCACGAGAACCAGGCGGCCGTGGCCAACTGCGCCGACCACGTCAACCGCTTCCTGCTCTGCGCCGAGCGCGTGAAGCCCCCGGCCTGAGGTGGGTGCCGGACCGGAGCCTTCGTGTCCGCAGACGTCCCCTTCCCCGGGCCGCATCCCGGGAGCCGAATACCCGGAGAGGGGACATTACCCCCCGCGTTACGCATAGACCTGCATTCCTACCCTCCTTCCCTTCTTGGCTTCATAAATCCTCCCCTAATTGCCTCGCAAAAAAGATATAAAGCACAGCCAGTGCTGTGCACACATGCTAGAAACATGGTAAGGTGTGGATCGTCACAATTTTTTCATGTGTGTAGGTGAAATGGAAGAAAATCCTTTTTTTTTTTTTTTTTTTCTCCTTTCCAAGGCACCTAAGGGTGCTTGAGGGCAGCTACTTGGTCTTTTTTAGCACTGGCTTGAGCTAAATTGGTGAATTGCTCTGGATGAAAGCAGACGCGTTGATTTAAAGTCATAATTTGCACCCAACTCTGCTCACCGACCTATTTTGTACAGTAATATGTGTGGAATGGGTGCTGAAATAGGTCAGCTTGTAACACTCGACACTGCTGAATGTCCTGTAAACTTCTATAGCACAACATTAACATAAAGAACATGTTACTAAGTGTATGGAAATAGCCTGAATGTGACAGACTTCCATGTACCTCTTAATTAGGGTGCTGCATGCATGCAAAGTCTACCTGATTCTTTTCTTTGTGCTGTTTTTTTCATAGGAGATCCTGGCAATTAAAATTCATCTTCAGGAATGAATGAAAACTCTTTTTTTTGTTTTCCGGAGTACCGTTCCTATGCTCCCTTTTTTTCTTTTTCCTTTGGGGAAAAAAAGGAGCACAACCCATGCCCTGTGATGTGGTTCTCTTGGTTCTCTTCACAATTCTACAAACACCGAGGCCTGATCGGGGTGTCAGAACGTTCCTGATCCGGGTGGCTCTGGGTTTTGCTTGCTGGTACCCCCTGTTCTTAGCAGCGTCGTAAGGGAATAATAAATTGCAGAGTGGTGCTAAAGGATCAGTTTTTTTTAGAAGTGATGAATAAGAACAGAAGCCTGAACACAGACCTTTTCCTTATATTCTCCAACAGTTTCTTTGGTTATTAATTGCAGTGTGTTTTCTATTTTTACACCCTGATCAAACAAAAAAAAAGAGTTTTAGCAGCTCAAAAGCCATGTCTGACTTTGCCCATTGATGATGGGAGCTGCTCTCTGACCTGGGCCCTTCACAGTTAAGGTTCTTGTTGAGTTCTTGAAGGTCCTGGGTTGATGCACCTGAAAACTTGCCACGTGGGGAGGTGTTTTGAGGGGTGGCAGCCGGTGTCTTGTGCTGCTTCAGGACAGCAGAGGGAGTTCCTGCCGTCGGAATGACTCTGAACTTCGGAGCGCCGCACAAAACCCAGCCCTGCAACCAAAGGGGGCCTTGAAATGCAAGGTGGCCGCCAGTATCCATAGGGAAACGAAGAGCCCAAGCGAAAGGAGAGGAATGAATTAAGGAATCCCGGGAGCTCCGAGCATCCCCAGATGCAGAGAGCTGCAGGGCTCTGCAAACGAGCTCTGTTCTTGTGTGCAAAGTCTGAAAGCCTCCGTGGTTCTGTTCAACGTGCTGCGTGTTCAGCGGGACTGAGAACCTCTCCGAGGAGAAGCTGGGCCTTCCTAAACTCCGAAGAATCCCTTGGGATACTTGCAAGACAGGAGAGCTGAAGCATCTCTAAGCTGGTTATACAAATGTAGTGCTGGGGAGCAGGGGCTTTGCTGCTGCTCAGGATGCTGACTTTAAGAGCAGTGATGGGCACCCTAAACCCCCCCTTTTCCAACACGTGCTCTGAAAACCTTGCAAGATTTTGCTGTGTTTTCGCTATGAGGGTTTTGTGCCTCTAGAGAAGGTGAAACCCGACCCAGAAAATTCAGCTTTGACCCCAGTGGGGTCCATACCCCCTACCCAGGACACGTGGATCCTTATCCATGTTCCGGGCAGGCGTGAACCCAAACTTTTGCCTTTGAATATGTGCTGCTTGGCCAATGTTACTCAACATTCTGCACTTGGGCAGCATTTAACTCCCTTGGGAGATTGAAGTTTCTCCCTTCCAGCTTCTGGTGGAGCCTGCAGTGTCATCCTGGCTGTCACCGCTGCTGTTATTTGCGTCCCAGAGGTGGCTGCATTTCAGCCCTGATGGGCTTTGCTGCATGCCTGCATGCTGGGATCACTTCGGGCAGCCTATATGCAGCCTTGCAGAAAATGTTTTGCTTTTCTGCTGCAAAATACTACGCGTTGAAACATGCAACGAGCTGTTTCGTCTCCTGGCAGGAAAGGAGATGAAACAGCTCCCATTCCGGTGGGAGAAAAGAGACTGGTAGCTTTGCTTCAAAGTGGATTTAGAGAGGAGGCACCTGCTACCAGCAAAGAGAGGAAATCTATTTTTAGTGTGTCTGGAGATTATTTATACCAGGCAGCACCTGATTAGTCGTAAATGTCTGTGGTGTGAATAGCTTTATTAAGGATGCCTCTATACAGGAGTGAGGGTGCTTTACATGTTGTTGACATTGTATTGAAATGTCAGCCTGGCAGCAGAAAAGCCATTTTTCATTAGGTTTAAGGTGCACTGGGGCCCCTCCTAAGCCCAGTTGTGTCTCCTCCTTCTCAGGAGCCTGAGCCACTCTTATTGCTCAGTCCAATGCGTTAACCCCCGGGCTGCCAGGCACTTAAAGCTGCTTTCAAGTTCTCTACTTCTTCCTAGGAAGCAGGAGGAGAGGTAGATGATAGAGATGTCACTCTGTCCTCTTCCCATGTGCAATTCCAGACCGCCATTACTTCCATTCTAGGAATATTCCGAATAAAGAAACGAGAATTTAAAACCCCAGGGGTGTTCTCTCCATTCACAGAATGGTGATGCTGCCAATGGACAGGATTCCTCCCAAGTTCAGGTAGGACAGAAACACATGCAGGAAGCTCTTACAAGTAGGATGGTTACTGGCATCAGGCCGAGCGTGGGGAGAAGTCCTCAGGCGGTCAATCGAACTGGTAGGTTCAGCTCTATCTCCAAAGCAGAGAGATTCAGTTAAAATGAATGCCAAGCAGCTGAAATCAATAAGTGAATAAACTTACGTTATGAGGGTGGGAGACTCAGAGAAAGAGGGGGAAAAAATATATTTAGACCAGGATTCAGCTCGATTGGTTCTCTCAAACTCAAAACGGACCAGAAATAAGCCCTCGAGCCCTGTGGACTCAGAGAAAGAGGGGGAAAAAATATTTAGACCAGGATTCAGCTCAATTGGTTCTCTCAAACTCGAAACGGACCAGAAATAAGCCCTTGAGCCCTGCAGTATCAAGAAAAACCCAGAGGACCACATTCTAAGATGCTGAGAACTGTTAAGAGACCGTGTCGTAAACCTTTATAGGTCTTCTCACCTATAATTGGTCTAAATTATCTTTCAGCCACACAGAAATGCTTTATTATTATTATTTTATATCACTGTAGTAGTTTTGTTTCAAACCGCTTAGCTTCCAACGTGGGTTTCTAGCATTCCTACTCTCTGCTTGGTAAAAAATCTCGTGCTCTATGTTTTCTGCTCTTTTAATTATTCTGGACGCTTGTTTTCAGTTTTACATGTGTTTTATATGG